ATACAGCACTGTTCGATACGGTTCGATACGGGTAGTGTATTGTTGCACCCCTACAGAATATATACTGTTGAAACGTTTCAAAGGGATGGTATTTTCCAGGCACACAGTTCAATTCTACAACAAAATCAAGTATGTTACCTTCCATTGTTATAAAAAGGCTGTATTTATGAAAAATAAACTTGCCTTTACATCATAGTCTATCGTAATGCCTTGAAAGTGACCTCTGTCTCTTTAAGAACTTCCTACCGTTTCAGACACTTCCACTTCATTTACATTTTCACAACAATGCTTCAGGGTTTCAAGGATTTCTCAAACATGCATGAATGAGTCAAAGCGACACTCTGGGCATGTTTTTAATGAGGGAAAGACACAACAAGATATAAAGCTAAAAAAAAGTCACTTTGGCATAACACACCCACTTTAAATAAATTAAAACAACAGATTGTTTGTGCATTGATTGTTTAAAAATAAGACAATTCAGTTATTTTTCTTCACAATGAAAAATAAAACGTTAGCAAATGACCATATTTGGCACAAGGACCTTGAGTTTGACATGTCTCTAAGGTAATCAACGTCTAACAATCCTAARAAGTTAAAAGAAATACAGACAAACAATAAACAGCAATTTAATTTATTCTTTAAATTCAGTTTCATGCGGGAAAGGAAAATCACAAGCTTTAGACAGAATTACATCAGACAGGTTAACAGATGACAAACCATAAAAGTGAAATGTTGATGGAAATTACATTCAAGACTGTTTGGTGCAAAGTGAATGCACTCAGTCTGATCCACATGGGATGCCTGAGGTGAATACCATGATTCGTGTGTACATGTATCCATAACTACATCCTTTTYCATGTTAAAGGCTGTGAGTCACAAATCCATCTTTTCTTCCCTCCTGACCTCCATCCACACGACACAATCTCATTTAACCCTACAAGGGGAACACCAGAAACCCAGAGAAGGTGGAGTACTTCCACCCCCCCATCAGGTTCCCCCTCTCCAGTTTTAGGTAAGCCTTGTCCCCTCGCTCCAGTATCACCAGCCCGGCRTTGGTGGCTGCTTCCCTCGTCACATCCTGGTCACCCGCAAACGCCGAGATCACCGGCCAGCCGTTGAGAACCAGACTGACCTGAAAACATCAAGATGAWKCAGAGGAGAAAGCACAGAACAAAATGTCAAACCCAAGCAGATTTTAAAACAGAAGGTTATAGTGGTTCATGTGTTTTGTTGTTCTGGAGATGTAAGATAATTTGTCTGAATTTCAATGTTTTTTGGATTGTTGGCCTTTCACGCAGTAGGCTTTAAGGGTTGKTATTATGCATTTGYCTTGAAACTGGCCTCKGTCCCTTTAAGAACCTCCTACTGTTTCTGACACTCCCGCTTCAGCATATCATTGCAACAATGCTTCATGCCRTTTCCAAACTKTAGGAGTGTTGTAYTTTGTTGTAAAAATGAAGTAACATTATATACAAGTTTTGAAAACAAAATGGGTTACAAAAATGTTTTTATAACCTTTTATCAGAGTATAYTTGGTTTGRTTTGTAAAACGGTTACTCAGGTTGTTCTGTGGGCTGCTTTGCTCCTATGTGAGGATATTTCATAATAAAAGCATCACATGATGCAGTCGAGTCCAGCTACTGGTGCTCAGTGTGCAAACAGAAAACAAAATTAGGATAATGGAAGCTTCAGATATGATCTCAGATAAAATTCAGGGTCTGGGTTTCAGTTTTCTACCTTCATAAAAAACTGATTTTTAAATTGTTTTATTGATCCCAAGAATTTAGTCAAATGCTCTTCAAATGGCTGGAAAATGCAGTTTTGAAAAAAATCTTTTACAAAATTCTGAGGGRGAGTATACTCCTGGASCCCCTGCTTCAGTYCACAGCTGCTGGTTAACATGAACAGGTGTTCCTCATTGCTGTCAGCAAATGTTGGCAGGTATGAGGTGGACTTTGGTATTCTGTTTCAAATTAATTACATTGTTAATTGTTTTGATTGGACAACCTAGTTTCTAAAGGAGTCAAACCTGTGACTTTCTGGTCCCAAGTTGGCTGCTCTACCACTACAMCACAGCCCAKYCACCCCCTCTGTGTATATTTTTGATGAGAGAATGGTATAACATGATATGAAGCTAAAAAAAAATCAAATTTGCACAATAGTGTCCTTCCATTCTTGAAACCGTTCTTACTTGTATCGTCTGCCGGTTGTAAACTTTAACAACATGAAAGCTGAAGCTGTAGACTCCTTTTCGGGGGGCCACAAAGATGCTTGTTGCTGGGTCAAAATGGCTGCCAATGTTCACTAAAATCTAAAASMARRAAAAAAAAAGAACATTAAACAAGAAACAGMTGAGCAACAAATGTTTGTCTAATGTTCCCATTCACACTGAATGAAACAGCAGATAGAATCTGGATCATCATGCCTGTTAAAAACACAGTGGGCAGAAGGAGAACTGGTTGTAATAACTTGATCCTTATAAGCTATAACAACATCATACCCACAGAGTTTTAGCAACAAAAATTGACATTAATTCTTTGAAGATTCTTTAACTTAACCACGGWCTCTGGGGATAAAAATCGACCACCTTATGTAACTAAACTAATAAATATYATCTACAGAGAATTAGTTTCACAGAACTCAACAATTCACCCCGACAGTTGAAAAAAGTTATTTTTATCTCCCTTAGACTGCACAATTACTATAGCCTTATCCTGACCCTTACCCCAAATCTATTATTGCCAGTATATGACTAACCCTAACCCACTGCTCAGTTCATACCTTCGTCCTGACCCCAAACTTTTAAAAAATGCCATTTGAACATACACGGGCCAGGCTTTGGCCCCTCAAAGTAGCAGTGGGTCCTCTCAAGTTGGTGTGTATCGGAAAAAGGATCCTTACAAGATAATAAAAACAAACACACACAAAAGTTTTTCTATTTATTTCTGTAACATAATCCTGACTTTTACAACCTCATCCTAACCACAGATAAGCACCTAACCCACCAATGGTGATCCACCGGATTGGGACTGGTCTTTGGTCCCTGAAAGGGCTAGTGGTCTAAGTGTTTATACCGGAAACGGTCCTAAAAAGGTAACACAAACCAGGTCCACACACACAGGCAAAAACATTTTGGCTTGTTTAGTTTCAGTGTTCTTGAGTGATTACTAACTAACTAACTAACTGACTGACTGACTGACTGACTGACTGACTGACTGACTGACTGACTGACTGACTGACTGACTGACTGACTG